GGGGGGGGTTAAACATGTGTAAATTTCCTATAGCGGAAAGCAGCGCTGATTTCTATTGTCCGCCCTCTCTGCAGGAGACGACCAGACAGTGCAGTGGAAAAACCCGAAGCATTGACTCTATTTCAGCTGACATTTACAGACACGCTGACCGTCAACTCATGGATACGAAAGTAAAGGACTCAGCAATAGAAAACACAAAATGCTAACTTAATAAGGACGCAGGACAAACTTAAGGGCAACTGATGGGCGGGACCCCACTCGATAACCTGATTTAGTGACACGAAATGCCAAGAAATTCTTATCTGGGCTTTTGCTTTTGCATGTAGGGGGAAAAGGCAGAAAAAGAAACACATCCCGGTAAGAAAAAATGATCTATAATAGGCATTGTTTTTGAAAACCCTATTAAAAACGGTACACTAACTTAACATAAGTGTGTCACACTCATTTTGAAAAAAAGTTTTAGGAAGATGGAAATTAAAACAAGGGCTCCTATAGCGACGACAAAGTAGACTCACTGTTAATGTCGGTACTGGAGGAAATTAATTGACTTGAGTGCGTTTAAAGCGATTAATTTCCAGAATCCAACGGAAGTTAGTCCAGTATTTCCGTCAACTTTTGAAACATCGAAATGTAACTATAAAAGGGCTAGCAACAAAAATTACAGTGCTTGCTTTTTGCGAAGACTGCTTCGGGTAACTGGTACTCCCAACTCCCATTCCCCGAATCAGAACCACGATATTGCAAACAATCAATAAAAAGTCCATTTTTAATCTCCTGTGAAACAAATACGCTGAAGAAGATTAAAAAACTGAAGTCTCAACGCAGGAGTCTATACCAGAAAGCCCACGGGGGATGCTGGCGGCGGCTCACTGATGAGCCGAAGCCTTAACAGCTGTTCCATGCAGCGGCAGAATATTAACGAAAGAAGTGCAGTTGGTTTTACCTGGTACCTATTATGTCACCCGTGTGCAAACACCTCGGCTCTAATTTGCTGCTCGGAACTTCACGTATTATTGTCTAGATATCTAGAAAAAAATGTATTACGGTCACCTGTGGAAATCATGGCGTACCGTTAACGACATGCAGACATTCAGAGGCCCGGTGCTGAACAGAATAACCTTCGGATGCGTCGTGCAACAGTACAAATGTTGACAAAAAAGTTTCCTCGTTCATTCATTGCATATTTTGGCGGAGAATGGTACATAGTTATCAGTGCTGTTGAGTGATTGTGAATAACAGCCGACTACTCCGCTTAAGCGTGTCAACTT